TACTCATGTAGGTAGCAATCTTTTACCTTCTTGATCTTTTCTTTTTTAACTAAAATCTTTTCAGATCAGTATCTGATCTGTATCATTGACAATGGGATATCCAGTCAAAATCTGCTGACAGGCACTATTGTACCATATAGATTAGATACTAATAGTTTGTAAGAAGGGTTTTTATGTTAATTTAAGTTCACCCTAGGAGTTTTATTCTCAACAATTAGTGTAGATAAAATTCAGATTTAGATATTCAGACTAGTGGTATTTTCAAATTGATGTATTTCAGACTAGAAGTAGACAGTTTGTATTTTCAAATTGATGTATTTCAGACTAGAAGTAGACAGTTTGTATTTTCAATTTGATGTATTTCAGACTAGAAGTAGACAGTTTGTATTTTCAATTTGATGTATTTCAGACTAGAAGTAGACAGTTTGTATTTTCAAATTGATGTATTTCAGACTAGAAGTAGACAGTTTGTATTTTCAATTTGATGTATTTCAGACTGGAAGAAGACAGTTTGTATTTTCAAATTGATGTATTTCAGACTAGAAGTAGACAGTTTGTATTTTCAAATTGATGTATTTCAGACTAGAAGTAGACAGTTTGTATTTTCAAATTGATGTATATCAGACTAGAAGTAGACAGTTTGTATTTTCAATTTGATGTATTTCAGACTAGAAGTAGACAGTTTGTATTTTCAATTTGATGTATTTCAGACTAGAAGTAGACAGTTTGTATTTTCAAATTGATGTATTTCAGACTAGAAGTAGACAGTTTGTATTTTCAATTTGATGTATTTCAGACTAGAAGTAGACAGTTTGTATTTTCAATTTGATGTATTTCAGACTAGAAGAAGACAGTTTGTATTTTCAATTTGATGTATTTCAGACTAGAAGTAGACAGTTTGTATTTTCAATTTGATGTATTTCAGACTAGAAGTAGACAGTTTGTATTTTCAATTTGATGTATTTCAGACTAGAAGTAGACAGTTTGTATTTTCAATTTGATGTATTTCAGACTAGAAGTAGACAGTTTGTATTTTCAATTTGATGTATTTCAGACTAAAAGTAGACAGTTTGTATTTTCAATTTGATGTATTTCAAACTAGAAATAGACAGTTTGTATTTTCAAATTGATGTATTTCAGACTAGAAGAAGACAGTTTGTATTTTCAAATTGATGTATTTCAGACTAGAAGTAGACAGTTTGTATTTTCAATTTGATGTATTTCAGACTAGAAATAGACAGTTTGTATTTTCAATTTGATGTATTTCAGACTAGAAGAAGACAGTTTGTATTTTCAATTTGATGTATTTCAGACTAGAAGTAGACAGTTTGTATTTTCAATTTGATGTATTTCAGACTAGAAGTAGACAGTTTGTATTTTCAATTTGATGTATTTCAGACTAGACGTAGACAGTTTGTATTTTCAATTTGATGTATTTCAGACTAGAAGTAGACAGTTTGTATTTTCAATTTGATGTATTTCAGACTAGAAGTAGACAGTTTGTATTTTCAATTTGATGTATTTCAGACTAGAAGTAGACAGTTTGTATTTTCAATTTGATGTATTTCAGACTAGAAGTAGACAGTTTGTATTTTCAATTTGATGTATTTCAGACTAGAAGAAGATAGTGTTATAACGGATTGTAGTATTAAAACACTGGAACCAGATGAAGTTTTAGATTTTGATTTCTGTAGTACCAATGTCCTGAATAAAATTATAATGAAGGCAAGTTATCTTGAAGAACTGTTAACTTTGAATTGTATAAGAGAATTCTTGATTTTACATTCTGAGTGGCTTCTGACCTGATCAGATCTATGTACTATATAGTATTATAGAGTGGTATTTACTGATAAATATTGATAACTTCTGGCAAATACAAATATGATAATATTATTAATATTTCAATTAAATTAATTGTTCTAGACTTGATTTGGTTTAATTGTTTATTATTTAATGTAATTGTTTATTATTTAATGTAATTGTTTATTATTTAATGTAATTGTTTATTATTTAATGTAAATGTTTATTATTTAATGTAATTGTTTATTATTTAATGTAATTGTTTATTATTTAATGTAAATGTTTATTATTTAATGTAATTGTTTATTATTTAATGTAATTGTTTATTATTTAATGTAATTGTTTATTATTTAATGTAAATGTTTATTATTTAATGTAATTGTTTATTATTTAATGTAATTGTTTATTATTTAATGTAATTGTTTATTATTTAATGTAAATGTTTATTATTTAATGTAATTGTTTATTATTTAATGTAATTGTTTATTATTTAATGTAATTGTTTATTTTTTAATGTAATTGTTTATTATTTAATGTAATTGTTTATTAGTTAGTGTAATTGTTTATTATTTAATGTAAATGTTTATTTTTTAATGTAATTGTTTATTATTTAATGTAATTGTTTATTATTTAATATAAATGTTTATTATTTAATGTAAATGTTTATTATTTAATGTAATTGTTTATTATTTAATGTAAATGTTTATTATTTAATGTAAATTTTTCAGTCAGAATGTTTAAAAGAGGTATTTAGTGAGTTAGATATGACTAGTGAAATTTTACAGATAATGATGTCACCAGATACTCCTTATTTTCAACTCTCTACGTTCGGCAATGCTGGCAGTACACAGGTAAAATTAGGGGCTAGGGCTAAGTTTTTCAGGGTACAATATTTTCAACTCTCTACGTTCGGCAATGCTGGCAGTACCCAGGTAAAATTAGGGGCTAGGGCTAAGTTTTTCAGGGTACAATATTTGTCTTATTTTCAACTCTCTACGTTCGGCAATGCTGGCAGTACACAGGTAAAATTAGGGGCTAGGGCTAAGTTTTTCAGGGTACAATATTTGTCTTATTTTCAACTCTCTACGTTCGGCAATGCTGGAAGCACACGGGTAAAGTTCAGGCTTGTTTTCATTCCATTTAACAACTTTTTTATAATATTTGTTTTTGTCTGTTTATTTGTAGTCTGATTTCTCTAAAGATTCTGATATGGTGGAATCATTCCAGTGTACCAAAACACAAACTAACAGGTCAGTGATTGGAATTAATTTAAAAGGGATTGTAAAGAGATTTTAAACTTGATACTGTTTGATAAATAATAGAGTAGTAATATCTTTTAGATCCTCATTTGATATTGATTAAGGGTCAGTCCAAATAATTTTAAAACTTGTAAGTTATATTTACTTTTACTATCTAAAGAGTTTATTAGAAATATGCACTAAAGAAAAAAAAAATTTGGTTTTTGTCAATAATAAATTTCCCATACCTGAAGATCCCAGCCATTAGTTCTCCCTCCCTAGATTAAATCATTATTAAACCATAGTTTGTTTAACTTTCAGATATAAGATATCATTATTAAAACCTAGTTTGTTTAACTTTCAGATATAAGATATCATTATTAAAACCTAGTTTGTTTAACTTTCAGATATAAGATATCATTATTAAAACCTAGTTTGTTTAACTTTCAGATATAAGATATCATTATTAAAACCTAGTTTGTATAACTTTCAGATATAAGATATCATTATTAAAACCTAGTTTGTACAACTTTCAGATATAAGATATCATTATTAAAACCTAGTTTGTACAACATTCAGATATAAGATATCATTATTAAAACCTAGTTTGTATAACTTTCAGATATAAGATATCATTATTAAAACCTAGTTTGTACAACTTTCAGATGTAAGATATCATTATTAAAACCTAGTTTGTACAACTTTCAGATATAAGATATCATTATTAAAACCTAGTTTGTATAACTTTCAGATATAAGATATCATTATTAAAACCTAGTTTGTTTAACTTTCAGATATAAGATATCATTATTAAAACCTAGTTTGTTTAACTTTCAGATGTAAGATATCATTATTAAAACCTAGTTTGTTTAACTTTCAGATATAAGATATCATTATTAAAACCTAGTTTGTATAACTTTCAGATATAAGATATCATTATTAAAACCTAGTTTGTTTAACTTTCAGATATAAGATATCATTATTAAAACCTAGTTTGTTTAACTTTCAGATATAAGATATCATTATTAAAACCTAGTTTGTTTAACTTTCAGATGTAAGATATCATTATTAAAACCTAGTTTGTTTAACTTTCAGATATTAGATATCATTATTAAAACCTAGTTTGTATAACTTTCAGATGTAAGATATCATTATTAAAACCTAGTTTGTTTAACTTTCAGATATAAGATATCATTATTAAAACCTACAGTGAAAGCTCTAGCCCAATCTAGTCGTATTTCAATACGAACTGACAATAGAGGATTTCTCTCTCTACAATATATGATCAAAAATGAAGATGGTCAAGTCTGTTTTGTTGAGTTTTATGTGAGTATATCTTGGTTT